TGCTTCCTGGGGTCTAGGGTGTCAGAGGGAGCGTCCTGACAGTGGCCTCCATGGGGTAGGGACCCTCCAGGGGGGGAGGGCAGCCAGTGCCTTCAGGACACGATGTCGTTCCAGGTCAGGGGCATGACTCAGAAAGGCAGCCTCCAGAGCCTCCTGGGTCCCCTGAGTTTGCTCAGTGATTTGGGGTGTCCCCACTGCTCTCCTTCCTGGGGTCTTGTCAGCCGGGCATCAGCCATCTCCTCTGTCATCTGTCCCCATCCTGGAGCTCTACGTCCACTCTGTGGCCTCCTCACCTGCCCTCGGCTACCCCATGGTGAAGCCCCCAATGCAGGGTGGTGGCCGTCTCCTCACGTCATTGGCTCCCTGCAGAGCCTTGCAGCTGTCCCCCACTCGGCTCACCTGCCCAACTCTCCCACAGGTAGGAGTCCCGACGTGAACCCAGACGCCCTGGAAGAGTTTAAGAAATTCATACGGTGCAAGGGATTCCTGGAGGACAACATTTTCATACCCACGTGGATGGGTGAGAGGACGGCTCTGCCCACATCCCCCTTGTGTCCCCCTCTTCCTTCTGTGGGGGAAATGGCATCACAGTGACATGTCACAGTGGTGCTCAGGCCCTGCCATGGGTCTTGGTTGTCGAGGGTCTGAGCTGTGGGCAGTGATGGGGTCTGGGCTGGTGACCAGGGCATCCTCTCACCTCTGGGTTTTTATTCCTTCAGAAAGCTGCGTTCCCTGGGGAGATTAGGGTAAGTGACTCTTTGGGAGGATGTTGGAAAATGCTGGGTTCATGGAGTTCAAGTGTCTGTCTGCTCTGTCCACCTCCTATCCCACACAGGCAGGAGAGACCCTACCTGGCTGTCACCTCAGGAATCTGACCTGAGTGTGACTCCTGGGACATGTGGAGATTCCTTTCCTTTACATGTGTGCCGAAACCCAGGAAGGAGTTTACCCTGCACCAGGGGACTCTTTCCTCGGACCTCCTCGGACTCCTCCGTGGCCCCCAGGATTGACGGTCTGCCCCCGTCTATTTTCTCAGGCTCTGACTTCCTTCACCCACCACCGGCTCATCCGTTAGGTAAGCCCCCTTTTCCTTTTGTCAGGCTTGTAGATTATTTAGACCTTCACCGTAATCATATTCCCCCGGGCCCCAGAGGCTAAGCCCCCATTCCTCTCTCTTTCTGTCACTCTTATTAACCTTCCTCCTACCGGGTCCAGGACCCCTGCCGTCCAGTAAACCCAAGCGCACTAGTTGCCTCCGGGAAGCGAGAGTCTAGGTGATGACCTACACCCCCTTCCTTCCTGGGTCCTCAAGGATGAACCCATCTCATGGGAACGGCACGACTCATTGGCGATGCCCTCTGAACTCCTTCCCTCTCATCTGGCTGGAGGGCTCATACTAATCCTCCTCCTTTTAAACCTTCTCTCTCTCTCTCTCTCTCTCTCTCTATTCCTCTTCAGAATGGGAGCTTCCGCCTCCTCCCTCCAGGGTGATTCACCCTTACAATGTCT